ACAGTGAGGAAGACGTGGTGGCTGGAGGGAGGAAAGATTTATTTGGTCTTTCTCTTTGGAAGGTATAGTCCATCATTGGTTGGCCTCTGTGTAACCTTGCAGAACAAAATGGGAGTGAAAAGAGGGAAGAGAAAAGGTGTTGGCCCCATGGCCCACCAGGAAGCAGGAAATAGCAAGGGATAATATATCCTCTTTAAGGATCAGCTTCCTTGCTGGGAGGTGGTGGTGCACGCCTTTAATCCCAGCACTTGGGAGGCAGAGGCAGGCGGATTTCTGAGTTTGAGAGTTCGAGGCCAGCCTGGTCTACAGAGTGAGTTCCAGGACAGCCAGGGCTACACAGGGAAACCCTGTCTCGAAAAACAAAACAAAGAAAAAAAGGATCAGCTTCCTTCACCTAGTAGCTACCTCCACTAGCTCTCCTCAAACAGCACCACCATCTGGGAAGCAAGCATTCCAAATATGTGCCTGTGGGATACAATCCATGTTCAGTTCACACCAGAGACAACCCACGTTCAGTTCACACCAGAGACAGTCCATGTTCAGTTCACACCAGAGACAATCCACGTTCAGTTCACACAAGAGACAATCCACATTCAGTTCACACCAGAGACAATCCACGTTCAGTTCACACCAGAGACAGTCCACGTTCAGTTCACACCAGAGACAATCCACGTTCAGTTCACACCAGAGACTGTCCACGTTCAGTTCACACAAGAGACAATCTATGTTCAGTTCACACAAAAGACAATCTATGTTCAGTTCACGCCAGACACAATCCATATTGAGTTCACACCAGAGGATAATACTTCTTTCATCTGATTTTGGCTATCCACTGAGGTTTTTTTTGTTTATTTGTTGCAGCTTTTGAAATTGGATTGCCATATGTAGTTCAGGCTAACTTGAACTGTGTAGCCCAGGCTTTCCTCGAACTACCAATCTTCTTGCTTCAGTTTCCAACATATTAAGATTATAAACATTGTTATCATGTCTAGCTTGACTTTAAAGCTAAAGAAAACACGATTTACTTCATTCACCCACACTCACGAAGATGGCTTAGAGAGATTGTCTGACATCTGGCTTGTAAGATCCCAGCTAAAGAGGGAAAAATGTGCTACTTCCAGGAAACAAGATTTGAGGAGAATTTAAGAAGAAATAAAATCATCAAGATTTAGAGATCTGTGGATGAATGTGACTGTAAAGGTTTCTTAGCCACAGGATTACAAATCTTTTTATAATCTGTCAGATTCCTCATGGAAACGTCTAGAAAGAACTTAATTTTATACTGTATGAACCTGGATTGCACAGTACTAGACTAAACTTGTTTTGAGGCTGAGGGTGTAACTCAGTGGTAGAGCGCCTGCCTTACATGCATAAGACCCTAGCTTCAACCTCCAACACTGCCGTGATGATGATGATGGTGGTGGTGGTGATGGTGATGATGATGATAGTAATAGACAACCTTTCTTTGAGATTATTATGATCACAAAAGGAAAAGGAGTCTGTATTGGTTTGCTTTATATTGCTGTAGATTTGGAAAAAAACTAACAAAAAAAAATGACCTGGAGAGGAAAGAGTTTATTTGGGGTATATAGCCTACTCACAGTCTATCACAGTAGGAAGCCTAGGCAGTACCTGAGTCAGGAACTGGAGCTGAAACAATGGAGTCTGTTTACTGCTTGCTCTTGGGATCAAGGCCATTTTCCTGGACCCCTTGCCCAGGAGTGGCACCTCCATGGTGGACTGGGTCCTCCTACATCAGTCAACAATCAAGAAAATGTCCCACGGACATGTCTACGGGCCAATCTGAACAAGACATTCCTTTCTTTCTTTCTTTCTTTCTTTCTTTCTTTCTTTCTTTCTTTCTTTCTTTCTTTTTTTTGTTTGTTTTTTGAGACAGGGTTTCTCTGTGTAGCCCTGGCTGTCCTGGAACTCACTCTGTAGACCAGGCTGGCCTCGAACTCAGAAATCTGCCTGTCTCTGCCTCCCAAGTGATGGGGTTAAAGGCGCGTGCCACCACCGCCAGGCTGTTTTGCATTTCTGTAAGTATCATGATTTTACCTTTGAAAGAGTGGCCTGGACCTGCAGCGTATTGGGAAAGTACTTGTCTGACAAGTGAAAGGACCTGGGTTCCTCCATCCTCAACACCAATAAACAAACAAACAAAAAACAAACAAAATCAAAAAGCTTTGAAGTGGACGTTTCTGGTTATGTCATGTGATGCAGACTCACGTGGTGTTTTGCTGAGTCACGAGGACTTTGTGATGTTAGGAGAGAGTATAACTAGGACTCAAGGACAGGACCTCGACAGTGTGCTTGCAGAGCTAGCTTTGCACTGCTCCGCTGGTCCCAAGTCTTCTGCTGATTTTCACTTCCTTGAGAGAGGCACAGCAGAGAACTTCCCCTGGAGTCCGGGCGGCTCCTAGTCCCTCCCACTATCTCAGAGACCTGGCTGCTTCTGCTGGTTCATGCCACCACTGCTGGTTCCTGATTGTTATCCTGACACTACTGAACGGGACTGCTGGTATCCTGACAAACAGAGACTGGAATTGCCCCAAAGAACTACTTCTAAGTAGGTCCACATCCCTTTGTCCTATTAACCATCTTTTCTCCCCTACCTTCAGTCGGTGGGCTAGAAGAAGGGTTGAAGTGTTTGAGAACACTTATTAAAAGTAAGGTTTTAAGGGTTGAAGTGTTTGAGAATGCTTATTAAAAGTAAGGTTTTAAAACTCAGCCTAGCAAGCTTCAGCAGCCATCTACCCGAACAAGTGTCTTGGTCCTGTGCTACGCTGCCTCTGTTCTAATGTGCGTCTCTAGTGAGGCAGCAGAGATGAGTTTGTCTCAACTCAACTGTCAAGCTATATGAAGTCTCTCACTGGGAAGCCTCGTGATCAAAGGCCCGCCAGATGTGTTCTGACTGGCCCTCCTCCAGACACTGTTCCTGTGTAACAAAGATAACCCCTCCCTGCTTTTTCATTATTTCAGTCAAAATGTAGATTATGAGACATGAATGTAATTAATGCACTGTTAAATTTTAGCATCCAGAATGAATGCTAGACAGCCTCAAGCTCGCTCATATTTCTACACAGATTACATAAACGCAATGTCAAATCAGCGGGCATCGAAAATTTACCATTCAGGCTTGGTTTAACAGAATGTCGAGTTAATCAATACTGCTACACACATCGGACACCAAAGAGCATTGCTATAAGCCTAAGCAAATAATCAAATTTCTTACATTTAAAAAAACCCAGGGCTAGAGAGATGGCTCAGTGGTTAAGCTGTTCTCCCAAAGGACCTAGATGTGACTCCTAGCACACACGTGGTGGCTTACAAAGGTCTGTAGCTCCAGTCCCGGAGTATCCAATATCCTCTTCTGGTCTCTATGGGCACCAGGCATGTGCATGATATACAAATGTACATTTATGCAAAAACACTCATATGCATAAAAATAATGAATAAAATGTAAAAAAAACCCACTGGATTTCTATTCCTTACACACGCGCACACACACACACACTTTCTCAAACCCTTATTACAAGCTCATGAATATATACCCATTTTCACAGATGTGGAAACTGAGGTTCCCAGGACTTAGGTAACATACCCCAGTCACGCTGTCAAGTAGTGTACAGGTTACCATCCAAGGTCTCGCTCCCACCCATCCTGGCCTTGCATCACAGTCTGAGCTCTACTCGTGTAGCTTCTTTCCCATCACCCTCACTGATGCTGAGCACGCTTGTCCAGAGAGTTGTGCTGGTCGTCCTGGTGGCAGTGTCACAGTAACCAGACTGCAGCATAAGAAACTTGCTAAGAGAGCAACAGCTTCCAATCGGGAGGTCAGCCGGGTCCCACCTTTTCCTGGAGTAGACCCTTCATGCCCACAGGTGCTCTGGAGCAAAGCTCTTGGGACACCTCTCTAAAAGGCAAGTTTATGTCACTGGATTCTGTTAACCTCGGACGGCAGGAAGTAGAAGAAGGATCAGCCCCACAGTCTACAGGCAAACGCAAAGACAAGTAAAGAAATAAACGGAAGAAAATTCTGTCACAGAAATGATCAAAGCAGACAACTGTGGAATAACGTCTCTTGCCTGTAATAAATAGTAGGTGTATTAGCTGGGCTCCCCCTGGCTAGACTGCCAGCTTACTGAGGCGGAGACCTACCACTCAAGTTTACACCCTGGCCAGCAAGGCTTCTGGTTCAGAAGGCACACTAAAAATAACCACGGATGGATGTTTATAGAATGAATGCTATTTATTCCGTGTCCCTTCCGGAAGCCAAGTGTTCAGACGAGGACTCTTGTACTCCCTGTAATCCAGTGTGTCTGTTGGGCACGCAGCAGCCAGGACATTCAACAGGTTTAGTCAAGGGGCAGGTCCTCTGCTTTCCAAGCAGGGCGGGGGGTGTGGCTCTGTGGTGACGTGCCTGAAAAGCACGACCCTGGGGTTCAATTTCCCAGCAACTCAGAATACAAAACAAAACTTTAAACCCAACCAACAAAACAACAACTGGCCATTTTAGGTCATATAACATAAGTTCAAGCCAAATATCATAGTGAAGGCATTTGTCAGGAGCACGCACGCAGCTTGATGTGCGTGTTTGAGTACACACTTCCTTCCGAATCAGTCTAGAAAACACATTCAGGGGTCCTTGGAGGACCGAATTTTGGTTTCTGGACAAAGCAAAGCTGTTTCCTCGGGTGCTAGCAACACCTCTACAATCAGTCCTGGCAAGGACCAAGCAGCCAGTACTTCTGGGCGCGCCCCAGGCCGTTTGTAGCGGATTCCAGAGAAAGCCTTCCAAACTGGCTCCAAACCAGGGGTCCGAAGCCGGCCCCGCCCCACCCCGCCGCCACCTGCGGAGATGGGCGCGCCGCCCACATCCTGACGTCACCGGGGCTGGCGGGGCCCCGGGGTGCTCGCGGGGCGGGGCGGAGGCGGAGCGGGCGGTGTAAACAGACCCGGGAGCCCTGAGCCCCGGAGGTGGCGCGGGCGGCGCCGCCATGGACTTCCAGCAGCTGGCAGAGGTCGCGGAGAAGTGGTGTTCCAGCACGCCCTTTGAGCTCATCGCCGCCGAGGAGACCGAGTGCAGGATAGACTTCTACGCCGACCCGGGCGTCTCCTTCTACGTGCTGTGTCCGGACAACGGCTGCGGCGACAGCTTTGTGAGTACATGGGACGGGCGCGCTCCGCTTCGCCCGAGCTCCTCCAGGGCGGCCGGGTGGGGCGGAGAGCGGTGGCAGGGGGCCAGGGACTGGGGAGCGGAGGTGTGGCGACCTCTCGGACCATCCCGCACCGGGCGCGTGGTTAAGAGCATCTCAGGAGAGCCTCTGTGTGGCACCCACCGGGTGGGGCTCACAGCTCCTGCCGCAGGATCCGAGGTCCGGTCCGGGAGCGGTGTCAGTCCCCCTCGGGGTCTCAGACACAACTCTGCAGCCGCCCCTCCCAGCAGGGTCCCCTTCCCTGCCTGCGAGTCTCTGGAACGGACACAAAGCCTCTGTCCACACCCGCAATGATAGATCTTTCGGACCCTCTTTGCGGAATTACGCCCTGGAGCTTAAAAATGCAGGCGCGTGCACAGGCGCGCGCTCGCGGGGGCACGCCTATCCCGGGTCTCCTGCTTCCCTAGCTCCTCACCGAGCTGCCAGCAAGTGTGTGTAGCACATGCGGGTTCTAGCCTGCCATGAGGCTACTGTGTCCTCGCCGAGGCCTTTCGGCTTTTCCAGAGGAAGAACACACACACCCCTGTCCAGAGGGACCAGAACCGGGAACTACAGTGGCCAAACCTTTAGCCTGCATCCCTCCCACTAGGTATTCTGGCGCTGACAGTTTAGGAAGAAGATGCAGAGAACACGCGGTTGTGAGGGGAAGTGTGGAGGCAGGGCGGGGATGGCGCGCCACGGAGTGTTTGTAAGCATTGTCAATAATAGTCCCCAAATGAAAGATGGAGGCAGCTGGGGATGAGGGTTATCGCATGGTCGACGGCCTGAGGCTGGAGGCTCTGTAGCAGCAGAGGGAGATGGGATGGTGCATCGACCGTCTTGGCTCATCAGGTGGAATGATAAAGCTGGACATAACCCCCAACCCCTGGGTCGGCACACCTCATCCATCCATGGGAAGTTCAGCCTAGGATCCGTGAAACCAGGAAAGGACAGGTGTAGGCTGGTGCACATCTGCCCAATAAAGTATGCTCCTGGCTTTGGGTGGCAGCTGGACTTAGATTCTGTCCACTTGTCTTCCCTTGAGTTGTCTGTCCCGAAAATTAGTTTCCTGAGAAATTATTCCCGAGAATAAGTTCTCTGGCGATCTTAGAAGTAGACCCAGCAGGCTGATGCAGAACAAGAGTCCTGCAAACTTCAAGTTCAGAGCCCTGTGTTCTCTCCTGTCTTTGTATAAACCCTTACCTAACTAAGGATGTGGCTCAGTCAGTAGAGCACTTGTGTAGTGTGTGTAAAATCCTGGGTTGGATCCCCAACACTGCAAAAGTGTGTTGTGTATGCAGAGGATGGGGTGGGGGCACACATCTGTAATCCCTACACTTAAAGGAGGAAGCAGATGAATCAGAAGTTCAAGGTCTTCCAGGGAGGCTTCATGAGTTCAAAGTCAGCCTAGGATCCTAAAGACGCTACTTCAAAAATAGTACCTCAGGGAGGAGTTTTCACAGTAGAGACAGGTTATTGATTCATGTAAGCACAGATTAGCTCTTTTTTGTAACAGGAGTAAAGTGTTGGCTGACCATTAAATGGAGGAGATAAGGAAGGTAGAAGATAATTCCTTGGACACACTAGAACTTTCTCCAAGTTTCTAGAGGCCGTGATGTTTGCCAGCCACGGGTGGATTTTTTTTTTTTTTTTTTAGTTAAACTGTCCCTCGAATCTGTATCACACCTGCTGTGTTTTTCAATTTTGTCATTTCTCTAGGAAAATCCCTTAAGCCTTTGAAGAAATTCGAGTTAAGTGGCATTTCTGCTATTGGAGATTTTGTTAACCATGAGATTGTTACATAGCATCTTTTACTTTACAAAGTTTAAGGTCATTTAAATAGTTACAAACAGTGATGAAGGTTTGGTCTTTCCTTGGTCAGAGCTCCCTGACTTGTGGACGACACTGTGCCTATAAGGACAGGTAGCTCTGAAGGAACGTAGTAGTGCTTAGCCCTGATTCTGTTCAGACATCTAATTGTACACTTCTGTCTGTGTTCTTGGGGACATCACTCTCTGCCAAGCTTAAACAACTATGTCCTCCTGTTACCTGACTTCAAGTGGCAGCCTGTTGTCACTGAATGCCTGGCAAGACTGTTTGGGAGCACGTGGAGTGTATGCTGCTCATATCTGGGAGCCCGTGTTAGTGTAATCGCTGTAAATGTCACTGCCATCTGCACGGCAGATTCCAGGCCCAATTCTAAAAACCTCCTAACTCCCCCTGTTCCCCACTCCATGTCCATATCCTCAGAGTTCTGCCACCATCGTGAGGAAAGCATAGACAGAGCCCTTTTCCTCCATGCCTGTGAGGGCACTCCGGGGAGGAACCCTCACATGGCTTGTTCCTTCTTGTACTCCACCAGTGTCTCTCTAACGTAGCTAAAATATGATCTGGAGCTGGACATGATGAGAATTCCAGCATTCGGAAGGCAGAGGCAGAGGGATCTCAGGTCTTTACATGACCTGTCTCCTGCCACTTCCTGCTGCACATGCACTTCCTGCCTCAGGGCCTTACCACTTGCTATTCTCTGCCTTGAGCACCTTTTCTGGCCGTCAAGATCCCAAGATTTTGTCTTTTCGCGCTGGGGACGTGAATTCAGGTCTTCGTGCTTGTATGGCAAACACTTTACTCACTGAGCCGTCTGCTCAGCCTTGAAAGATGTCTTCTTACTGGGCTTCACAAAAATTCTCTGAGGTAGATGTACCCATTTTATAGATGAGGTGAGACCCAAGGAGCTGCCCAGTGGAGTGGCATTCAAAGGCATCTTTGTTCTTGAGCCTCTGGAGCTACCATGGGCCACTTAACAGTGAGGCGACAGAGATCTGGGCTATCAGAGTCTCTTACACATTAAACCCCAGTTTCCTCACCCGGATCCTCTGGGTTCTCACCTCGCAGGCTACCTGCCAACGTAGCCCCTTTCCAAATTACCCACCACTTGGGGATCATGGCTTTGCAAGTGACAGGAAGGGCTGTGACACCCAGGCAGAGGGGGCAGGAACTGGGAAACCAGCTGGCAGTTCCCTCTTCTACCAACTCGGAAGGTCTTTAAGGTCTATCAGCCCTGAGAAAGGAATTGTGGGCAACCATTCAGGTACTGGGGAACAGAAGTGTGTGTGTATGTGAGTGTGTGTGTGTGGGTGTATGTGTGTGTGTGTGCATACACATCTACGTGGGCCTCTGTATGCTCACAAATATGTCAGTTCGTGTCCAGTCAGAGCACTGGCTACCCTCCTCACCTGTCCTCTAATTAAAGAGTGCCTACACATCACCTAGAATAGAAATTACTGATTGTAGGCACGGTCGGTTTACCTTATAGTTCCACCTTCCTGACAACCCATCAGAAACATATTTGGATGCACATTTTTGTGCAGTTTCAACCTCTGTGATCCAAACAAATAGCAATAGTCATATTATTAAAGAAACAGTACTCGTGGAGGGACTCGTGGTCAGCTCTTACACGCATGTTTACACGGTTCTCATTTGTGAGCGTGCCCGTGATGGATTTAGAAGGAGCTGCACTGCAGTCTTGCGATGGTGAGAAGGAGGAAAGGCATCTCTATCTCTTTACCTACGACTTCTGGTTGCTCCATCCAGAGTGGGAAAATCAGACTCTAACCTACTAACTACTACTGTGAGCATTGTATGAGGAGTCAAATGCAAGGTGGAATCACTTCATAGAAGTTACTTCAAGGAAGAACAAAGCCACTTATATAGTGAGCTAATCATGAACAGGGTAACATTGGGGTGTTATGAGCTCAGATGATTGGGAACAAGCAGTTACTTATCTACTAATTGATAGGCAGTCTGCAGGCAGACTGTGATTTTTCAGACCCCCTCTAAATATAACTGTTGTCTGTGACTTACACATGGCTTAAGCAGCATGCACAGAGGCAGTTGAGGGCACACATACATAACCCCTGTGGGGTGTTCTCTGCCTTCTGCTGCCTGTGTAGCCACGAGCAAAGTACTTAACCTTTTAAGCACCTGTTTCCTCCCTGACAGAATGCTCAATACAGTGAGCTGGCTGCTTTAGTAATGGCTGATTGTGCTCTCCCTGCTGTGTGTGCAAGTATGTTGGGCACCACAAGGTGGCTTGTGGTTTCTGTGTTCTGTCTGTTATGTGGTCAGACAGCAATTTTAGATGAAGAGACACCGATTACAAATAGAGCGAGAATAGCAGACACTCCGCACTTAAGCTGGGATGGTCCATGGGGGTATTGGTTTGGGGACCTTTTTTTAGATTCCAAAATCTGAGGCTGCTCAGAGCTAGTATGCGAAATTATTTACACACACCCTGCACCTAACCCTGTATGTATGCCTTAACTCGGTTAGATTACTTAGAGTGTTTAGTACAGTGGGAATGGGAAGTAAATAGGTTTTGTTTTATTTTGTCCAGGGAATAATCTGTGCTCTGAACTCCTTGGTTTCACCAGCTTGTAGCTGTAAGTCTAGCAAGAAGAACTCGGGCTGGAGTTAGCTTAGTGATCTAATGTCACGTTTTGATGACCAGATCTTGTCATCTTTATACAGAAAGTGCAACACATTCCCTCCAGGTGACTTGCTTGTGCTGTCTTAGCTGGGTGAGCTCAGGCCTGATGTAACAGAAAGAGGTACAGATGGCCTACAGTCACAGTGCTCCCATGGGGCATTTGCTATAGGAGTGGTAGGTCACTCGGGGTGGGGACAGCAAAGGCTAAGTCACTGCAGCTCATGGTTGTGGCCAGTAGTGAAACTGCTTGAGTTCTCCGTGAAAATTTTGAAATGTAGCCAGCCACCATTCAGAGACTCTGGGAGGCAGGCCTGGAAGTCTACATTGTAACAAGTTTCCAGGTGACTATCAACAGTTAAGACCCCAATTCTGCTGCACTTCCTGTTCCTCGGCATCTCCTGCTATCACAGGAGGCCTGCAGCTCACCCGGGATCCAAGGGCCCTCCATACCCAGGACAGCCAGTATTCTTCAGTCTGACACTCCCAGCTCAGCTATTTCTGAGGCTGCAGCTAGTTTCTCCAGTTCCTGCTGTAGTTTTATCCAGACTAATGTGGGCATTTGGTTAAATGTGCTTGGAGTATTTTCCAAGCTGCGGTTACAGTGGCTGGACCTCATGGCCCAGGACTCTGGGACTTCAGCAACCCAATTTGTCTTTGTATGGAGTTAACTTCAGACTCTGATTGGAGGCTCTGCCCTCTCACCTGGCTACTTTCTCTCTTCTCCAATCTGGTTTCATGTTTCTTTTCTTTTATCATTTTTCTTTTAGTATAACACACACACACACACACACACACACACACACACACACACACACGCTTCAGGCTTACGTCTCAGGTTATCCTGTCTTGTATTCTAGACACTGCTAGATACCTTTACTTTTGGAAAGAAATAGTTTAAATAAAATTAAGTACTTTGTATTTGTAAAGACAGTAGAAATAAGATGATTAGTAGTAAACGGTGTCTTTACAACTGTCATGTCTGACCCAAGCTCCATGTCTCTTTGTGGTACCTTGCAGACAGTGATTCAAGTTAAGGGGTTTTGTTTTTGTTTTTCTGATTTATTTATTACTTTGTGCGTATGAGTCTTTTGCCTGCATGTATGCATGTGCACTGCGTGTGTGTGCCTGGTATCCATAGACGTGCTGGCTACCCTGGAACCGGAGTCCCAGACAGTCAGTCATGCACTGTCATGTAGGTGCCAGGGATCACACCAGCACCTCTCCAAGAGCAGCAAGTGTTCTTAACTTTTTGGTCATTTTCACAAACACTTAATTTTTTTTTTTCTTAAACCAATAAGGCTGGGACTCTGTGTAAAGCTAGACCAGTAGATGAAGGCTCTTTAGGCAGAAGACCCTTTCCTGGGGCTCAAAGTCTAAATTCTCCAACATATACCAGTAAATAGTTCCGGAAGTGGAGTCAGGAGATGGGGGTGAAGAATGTCTTCCTGAGGCTAAAGGAGTTTAGAAATGCCTCACTGGTGCTCTCCACCGCCAGGAGTCGGGCACACCGTGCCATTCTACCTTTGACTAAACAAGGCACTTCTGCTTACTTTTTAAATTTAAAACCCAAATGCACTTTTTAAAAAAGAAGTCTATAAGGCTTTGTCTATGTATTTGTTTATTTTAGATCCACCTGCTTAAGAATCGATATTTCATCCCAAGTGGCCTAGGAGAGCAGTCACAGCAAAGTCACCCTTGGTATCAGGTTTACTCAGCCTGTGACTCTTGTCTGTGGCAGGTGGGAAACCCAGCTTGTCACCCTCCTGGCTACAGATGCAGAGAGGGAGAAAAGCTCCCTGAGCCCACTACTTACAGACCAGGCCCAGGCTGCCAGCCAGCACTGCACACACACTGATACACCTCCAGCTTTTCACTCTGTACTCACACAGTGCCCAGGGAAGGCAGACAGGATGTTAAGTGCTGCTAGGTGGTCACCCCACATCTACCTTGGGTTCAACTTTGAGAGAATCTGGACCGTTTCAGATGTGGTGTAGTAGCAAGCGCTGTGCAAAGCTTATTAGCCGAGCATAGTGATGGTCTGGCTGCATCCCTGTCGACTGAGAACAGGCAATGACTTGGAGTGCTCTGTGCAGCTAGCCTTCTGTACTCAGTAAGAAGTAGTTGTATAAGTGACCCTCAGTGTTAGGGTCTGCGATAGGGAAGGATTTGAGGAGCTCTCCAGTGGCTCTGTGAGGTGGTGGAGGGAACGCTAGAGGACACTGCAGGAATAGAGCTGCTGGGTCGGAAAGCCACCAGCCAGACTGTGACACAGATAATCAGAGTCTGGAGGTGACACATGCACCTTCTTATCCTCACTTAGACCCCAGCTGTGTTGGGAATCTACGCAGCCAATCTTAGACATCCCGCAGAGAGAAGAAGACAGTGAGTGTGCTCACTGGGTGGCCAACTGAACTTTGTAAGGTGATGCCTGCTCATGTACATGAATAGAAGCAGGCAGGGGGGTGCCACACGGACCTCTTGAACCATTTTCTAACTAGCTCTTGTCTGCTCCTTCCATCCACCAAACACCTCCCTTTCCCCAGGCCTCAGCACTGCCCTTTCAGTTGAAACCGTTGAGACAGACCCATCGTACCTGTGGGGTGCCCCGTGTTCCTGGCTTGTTGGTTCTGCAGAACTACTGCTTCTTCATCCGGACTTCAAGTCTGTTTCTCCAGCTTTTTCTAGACCTTTGACCATTATGGGAAAACCTTGCTTTAATTTGAAAGATGTCATAACGTGGATTTCCTCACATAGATAAAGGGTCCCCAGCCCCAGTAACAAGAGCAAACCTGGATGCAGACTGTTGTCCTGAGTGTTCTAGGTCGATTATGATATCTGGACAGGATGTCCTCCTAATGTGCCAAGGGATATGAGGACCCTGAGCAAGACTAGGCTTCCTAAGTGACCCAGCGCCGACTTTTTATATTCTCCTAAATTCATTTCATTCTGAAGAAATTAACCAACATCCCCACTCAGGGGCCGATCTGCAGAGGGAACATGTTGTTCCAAGTTCATGATTACAAACTAGTTAATTAATTCTTCAGCTGTAGCTGGAGGCAAAGTTAAGGAACTTGAAGGCAAAGGCTCTGATTCTCTGCCCCACCCCTGGTTTAAAGTCACCCTCAGGTGCCTGCCGAGAAGGTGGGCAGGGTGATACCTGTTGGCCTCAAAGGTAAGCCTGGAAGCAAAAATCGAGGAGGAATTCTATGACTTTGACATTGATTGCTTGCCATGCAAACAAATGAAGACCAAGGGGGTGGATTTCACTCTGTAATGGAGGCTGGCTTCCAGTGAGAGACTCTCTAAAACTCTAGGGTAGTGACTTGTGTCCTTTGTTTCCTCCTCGCCCTCATGGGCCACAGCACGTGTGGAGTGAGAGCGAGGACTGCCTGCCCTTCTTACAGCTGGCGCAAGATTACATCTCTTCCTGCGGCAAGAAGACTCTCCATGAAGTCTTGGAAAAGGTCTTCAAGTCCTTCAGACCTGTAGGTGCTGCACTGCACGGCTTCTGAAGCCACCCTGTGCCCCTCTGTGACTTCACACTGATAGCAGGATGGGTGGGAAAGTAGCGGGACCCAGGACTGTTCTCCCGTCTGCTTGTTGGCTGGCATTGGAGTATGAAGATAGCAGCCACTGTGGAGAGGCTGAAAGCGGGGTGCACAGCAGCTGTTGGGTGCAGGGCCGAGAGCTATTTCTAGCCTCAGTTTAGAAGTACTGACAGGGTGGAGGCAAAGAGTCTGTATGGGAAGTCTTTATGGGTACTCTAGTTCTCACCCAGTAGACTTGAAACCCACCAGTAAGCCGTGGGTTTTCTCTGTTTGTTTTATTTTGCTTTTTATCGTGGTGGTATTTGCATCAGGGGTGTGGCTGGACATCTAGATAAAGGATGTCCACGTTTGTGCCTGTGGGGAAGGGCGCCTTTGGATCCTGAGCCCCTTCTTGTTTCAGTTCTAAAAAACACTTGCAGAAAGCTTGCCTCCTCTCTCAGGATTTCGGACTGTGTGTTTCCATGGCAAGCGAGTGTCCAGTCTGCCTTCATGCTAGCTGATGAACACGGCCAGTGAATACTCAGTCCTAATTTGATGTTTATTTACTTCCCTCCCTCTTCCAACATCATCCCCAGCATCACAGGATGCCCCGCCCTGACCTCCTTCTTCGCCCACTGTGGTTTTATTGCATGTATACGGTGGTGTGTTGTAGAATTTCTGTGTATTTCTCAAACTGTTTTTCAGTCTTCTCTACTAAAGATCTCCAGCTTGTTTTATAGTCCCCTGAACACAGGGCAGTTGGTTACATAACAGCCTGTCTGACATTCTGACCTTTCAAGGTTAGGAAGTCCGTTTGGCATCTTTTGTGTCTCCTGGCTCGCACTTCTGGTATCCCTCGTTTGTGTGTGGCATTGTCTAAATGCAGGTTAGCCTGTCTGAGAGTTCATGGACAGGAATAAATGGAGACCCAGGATGATAGCATCTTTCACACAACTTGTTGGCCCTGCTAGGACTTGAGAGCCATGTCAGTCTGAGGTGGCCCTCGCTGCTTGATTTGTAGTTCCTAGGCACTCTAGGTGACACAAAAAAACAAAACAACAAAAAAACAACAAAAAAACAGGCTTCAGAGCATGTCTGTTTTAGCTCATTGTCCCAGGAATGTGGACCTTTGGGGGCCCTCCCAGGGAAAGTGGGGACCCTGCTGGAGTCTGTTCCTTTAGAGGACCCTGGGCTTTGACCCGTATATACAGTATACTTTCTTGCTTCCCCATCCAGGTTAGGTTGACCTCTCTGGCTTCCAAGTCCTCACTGTACTCAAGAGGTTATCTTCATGTCTAATGCTTGAAAAAAAAACTTCAGCTGTTCCCAGGGGGAGGGTTGGTTATAATCATTCAGTCCACCATTAAGAGAGGTGGAACTTTGGTGGGTTTTGCCTGGGAGTCTTCAATGAGAAGGATATTTCAGAGTCAGCACAGTAACCATGGGGAGAGCCAGGGGGAGGGGGTGTCAGACACAAAGACAGCTGAGATTGCCTGTGTTCCTGATATAGGAGGTACCCATGGAACTACAGGGTTTGGAGTTGGGCACCCGGGCACAGTGAGAGAGAAGTTCAGGGAGACAGGGTCTCATAGCTGTGGAAGGACTTGTGTTTGCCAGCCATGGAGAGCCTGCAGAAGTCGAGCAGGGGTGGGGGTGGGGACATGGTGATGATGTCCTTTCTTGAGAGGTGCCCTCTTGCAGACTAAAGTGCTCGGATTGGTTGTCAGCAGGGAGAGTCGGACCAGAACAGAAAGCAGTGCCATTTTCCAGGCAGATGTGAGGCCAGCTTAAAAAGAGCAAAGTGGGACAAGAGACACAGATGCTGGAGACACCTGGAAGGCAGACCCAGCTTGCCTCGCTGTTGGGTTGAAGTGGAGTCTAAGAAAACGAGGAAAAGATGAAACCTGAGTTTCTTGGCAGTGCAGTGAAGGACCTTTACAGCGGTGGGTGAGGCTGGGAGGGCTTGTGGGAGGGAAAGCTAGGGCCTGGTGCTGTTAGAACTCAGTTTTGCATCAACAAGAAGTCAGTGGGGAGCCTTGTGCCCCTCCTCTTCCTGCTGTGCTCACCTCTTTATGGAGCTTGGAAAGAAGGCACGGGCAGGGTTCGGCTGCTGCTCTCCTAGTTGAGAGAAGACCTTATTCAGTCAGGAAGATTATGAGCCAGGAAACCAGTGCTGAGTTCCCCTGGGTATCGTATCGGTAGTTAAATGGCGGCATCCCCAAGACAAGTGCATTCACCTGTGCCTTAAGACAGCTGCATTCTGGGTGTGGGACTTTAAAATGCCAGTGTGCCCACTTGCATTCATGATTGTTTTCACAAGGTCATCAGCCAATCACCTGCCTTGTGCAGTCTCTCCACAGAGCTAAGGACATATCTCTCTGTAGCCTTCCTCTGCCCCCAAGGAGCCTCATCAACCCTGTCTGCTTGACCTTGCTAAAGCTGGGCCTGTGGCAGCCGTAGGCTAGAGCAGTATCACCACAAGGCCATGCCACCTGGATGGAGCAGTGTCTGCGAACTGCGTTCCATTCTTCTTACCTGCACTTCCTACACCAAAATAATCAGTGTCACAGAGCCTCATTCCACACACTCTGAGATCTGGTTGGATCTTTGAAGAAAATGTAACTCTTCCCCCCTCCCCCCTTTTGAGCCATCCTTCTTCCTTCTGTTTTTCTTCTGCTTCATCAGATTTCCCACAAAAAATGTTCTAATTGTCTATCACCAGAGCCCCGTTCTGAAGGTTAAAGGACAGCACAGCATATGTGGGTTTTGAAGTCAGGGTAAAGGGAGAGCCTGTGTTGGCTCAGATTGCTGCTCTCTCAGGGAGGAACCTCTCTCCCCTCTCTCCTTCATGGAGCTTGGGTATCTACCTGTGCCTGTGGCAGTGTTGAATGCTGTTTTGGCTAATGTTCCCATGATGGTCCAGGTTGGCTTTAGTTCCTGTGGCTCCTATCCCATGGCTTCTTCCTCTGGGTGGCCCAGTCTTATCTCTGAGAATGCTGTGAGACCGTTTCTTTTCTTCAGAAGGGGTTCCTACCAGAAAAACACAGTCCTGATTCTGGACACTGGTGTGAAGACCAGTGTTAAGGCTGCATCCAGCGGCTGGGGAGGCAGGGAGATGCCACACGGCCCAGAACAGTGCAATCCTTGCCTCTGTCTTTGCCATCTGGTCAGTAGCCTTGAAGAAATGAAAGACTCCACCACTGCCAAGCTGCCTAAGTGGGGCAGAAAGCCCAAGAGAAAAATATTTTTTCTTGTCCGTGTGGATTTGCAATGAATGACATTAAAAATTGGAAATTTAACCTTTCCATATCTTTTGTTTTCTGCTCATGTTATGAACACTCAAAACTTGTCATTTTTAGCCAGGTGGTGGTGACGCCTTTAATGCCAGCAACCAGGAGGCAGAAGGCGGCAAATTTCTGATATTGAGGCCAACCTGGTCTACAGAACAGATTTCAGGACAGTCAGGACTAAACTGAGAAACCATGTCTCAAGAAAACCAAAAGAAAAAAAAAAAACAGAACAAAGTAAACAAACAGAAGCAAAACCTTGTCATTTTGAGGAAGGCCCGTGCCAGTGCCACCACCACAGTGCATCTGTGGCTCTTCCTCACTTCACCCCCCACCTCCGTCTTGCCTCTCCCTCTCCCTCCTAATCTAGTGGAGACTGAAACTCACCATGAGTTTTAGGACTGACAGTTTCAACCCCCCCAATACTTTAACTAGTCTTGCTGCCCAGAATAGGGTTTCTGGGCCCCCACAGAGCAGAAATGCAGAGACAAGTTCTCCCTCAGGCTCAGTGGGTCAGGATCTCCATTGTAGGTAGTGGTCTTGGTGATCCAGAGGCATGGCCAAGTGTGAGAAATGCTCCTCCCCTGGAAGAAGCATGCAGCTGCAAGGACATGCTTCCGGCATTCTAGCAGATCCAAGATGCTCTGGACTCCAGAAGTCGCATACACCTCCACTCCCGGCATAAAGACACCAGCCCAAGGTGACTGATGTACACTCCTTCAGGGTGCCACATGCTGGCCACAGCCTCAAGTAATTTGCACCTTTGTCCACAGGACCTGAAATTAGTCCCATAGGGGACCAGGGCCTAGAGAATTTCAATTCTCAAGTGGTGGCAGCTCTTCCTTTCCAGTGGAGGCCCACGAAGCCTGGTGGGCCTAGCAGTTTATGTGATTTCGGACTGTTCCACGGGAGTTCTGTGGACAGCCAGGCCTGGGAACGCCAGTGTGTCCCTTTACACAACGAGCAGAAACTTGTTTGAGTCCCGGGTTGCTGAAGAAGGTAATCACTGAACTAGGATTGCACAGCTGTAACTGTCAAGAGTCATTCAGACAGATCAGGCCTGTCAGCGATGGTTTCGCCGTTTCCGGTTTCACATAAGAGCATGTGGGCACAGACACAATAAGGGCTCCAGCTCCTTAGCAGGCTGTTTGTCATCTCACCTCCGGTTTAGATCCTCCACCACCCATGGTATGGAACATTGGCAGCCATGCTGGATTGCTACGGATCTGTATGATGCTTTTGGAACTCTGGGCTCTAGTTCTGGTAGTTTGCCAGGCAGTTTGTGCTAACAGGTTGCCATAATGTAAATATTAATTGTATACATTTCCTACTGGGGATGCATTTTGAAAACACATATTGCCCAGTAGAAAGCATGGAAACTTCCGGGTGCCAGGCTCAGCACTGACTGGCATACCCTCAGCAGCCTGCCTGGTGGGTGGGTGTGGGAACTTGACTGCAGTCAAGTCACCAGAGTTTGAGTCCTGGCTCTGCCGTTTCGGCAGTGACTCTGGATAGTCTCTGAGTGTCTCCTGAGCGCCATACATAAAGCTGCTTGACATAGTACTAGGCACATGCTAAGTTGATAGCACAGTTTTCATTCAATCTGAAGTATAGTGAACTTGTTTTCCTCCCTTGGGTGCTACGTGCAAGTCCAAGGATGGGATGCAGAGGCTAGCAGGGAATTCTCCTTCCTGTTTCCTAGAGGGCTCATTCACAGCCAGTATCTCCCAAAGCCAGCACAGCAGGAAAGAGGCAGAAAGAGGCACAGTGGCTATTCCTCGGATCACTGAACCCACTGTACTTTAGATCAAGAAGCTAGTTGGCCCAACCAGATGCGTATCTGTAAGGCCGAACAGTGGGCAGACTGTGAACATTCGCTGTTTCCTCTGAGCTTGAGTTTCTCTGAGCCGCAGCCGAGATTCTAGTGCTTGCCGTACAGAGAAGAGTGCATGCCAAAGTCAAAGGCTTCCAGACTGAAGGTCAGGTGCCATCTTCCAGCCTCTTGATACGTTTGTAGAACCTGCATGAAGGAGTCTTAGAAGTCCAGGACACTGTAAGTGGCTTCTTCTCTTCCCCACTCTGGAAATGCCAGGCCTGCTCAGCTCTACAGAGCAGGAGGATGCTTCTTACCCCAGGGAAGGGCCTTCCTGAGGCTGGCACTGCAGAACTAGAACTGTGTGTATGAAGTCATGTGGAAGAATAAGGTAGGAGGCTGGGAAGGGGAAGAGGTGTGGTTAGCCAATTAGCCTGCTGGATCTACTTCAGCAGTGCATGCTGAGTTCATGAGGAGATTGAGAGCTACTTATGGCTTGGGTTAGGGCTGAGTAACCCGAGTGCCCCATGAGGAAGAATCATTATAGATACGTGTATTTATATATACATGCCTCGGCTGTACCATTCTTACCTGTAAATGTCACGGCTAACTAAACGACAGTTTCTCACTGAGCCTCAGAATCCTTCAGAACCCAGCATTTCTTTTCTTTCTTTCCTTCTTTCTTTCTTTTCTTTTCTTTTCTTTTCTTTTCTTTTCTTTTCTTTTTTTTTGGTTTTTCGTGACAGGGTTTCTCTGTGTAGCCCTGGGCTGTCCTGGAACTCACTCTGTAGACCAGGCTGGCCTCGAACTCAGATATCCGCCTGTCTCTGCCTCCCAAGTGCTGGGATTAAAGGCGTGCGCCACCACTGCCCAGCTAGAACCCAGCATTTCAAGTGGCCAGTTGTCACCATTGGACAGAGGCATGGGCTATTCTGCAGTTAGTGGCATTCTGCTGTACGGAGTGGTCTTGTGTCTCCTCTTCTGCTGCTCAGATGGTGTGGACGCTCCTGGTGCTGCTCCAGCATTCCCACTCTGTCAGACACTGCAGCGTGGACTGTGAGAGTTGTTGTCAGCAGCTCTTCAATAAAACCTGACCAGCAGCGTAGCAGCTGTCTACTTTCATTGTGACTACCCATCTTCTCTCTCAGGAGGCAAATTTCATCTTGTATCTCATTAGAATGTGGGAAGGAAACAGTAAGTAGTGAGGCAAGGGGGCTTCTCTTTACGTCCAAAGACACGTGAGATTGGTGTGCCAGGGCTGGACAAGCCCTCGCTGTCCTTTCCCAAGTGAGCAATAACTTTCTGAGCTGTTGGCCGCCATGAGCTCTCCAGAGACAGCATGGCATGCGTCTGCAGTTGGCTGCAGCCATCTTGACTCGTGACCAGTAATGCCTCACGGATGGTTTTACCCCGCATGCTTTCCAGTTGGTTTTACCCCGCATGCTTTCCTGGGGGTCTGAGGCTGAGAGTTCTAGAACTTAAGAGTATAGGCGTTGTCTTAGTTGAGCCACGGGGAGAGAGTGGAGGAGGAGTGGCCGGGCAATAGAGAAGCCACATGAGGAATGAACAGGCCTACCTTTAATGTCTTAATGTAGTTAATGTTTAGGTCACTGGGACCACTTAGTTAAGTGGCCTGAAGGTAACAAATCTGGGGTGTAATGTCTTGTGGTCACTCTTGACTCCGTCATCCCATACAGAAGCCCAGGAGCAATGAAGGCCATGGTGTTCTGCCAGCACAAGTTTTAGTTCATATTGATTATGAGTGATTAATACTATTTACTATCTAATGGAAGACCAATGTCATTAAAAACCATTGTCATGGGGCTGGGGAGATGGTTTAGCAGTTAAGGGTGCTTGTTCTTCTGGAGGACCTGAATTTGGCTGCCAGCTTCACACTGGGCAGCTCACAGCTACCTGTAAGGCTAGCTCACAAGCTAGCTACACCTCGAATTGCCAAAGGCACCAGTACTTGAGTGAACATACCAAAAACACAGACATGCACATGTATGCGAAATTGAAATATATTCATCTCGAACTTGTTGTGTTTCCCTGATCATAGTCATAGAGCGTCACAGAACGCTCGTGGAACGTAGATGAAAAGCTCCTTCGGGGGACCCGGGTTTGATGCCCAGAACTCACAGGATGGCTTACCAACATCCTTAATTCCAGTGTCAGGGGATCTGATGCCCTCTTCTGACCTCTGTGGGCACTATGCAGGCACATAGTACACATACATACTGGCAAAACGTTCATATACATATACATAAAATACATATATGTATATATATGTAAAATAAATACAAAAAATATAGATGAAATGGAAAAAAGTTTTTCCCAGTCCCAATTTTATAGAAATACTTTCTCTCTCTCTCTCTCTCTCTCTCTCTCTCTCTCTCTCTCCCTCCCTCCCTCCCTTCCTCTCTCTAAATGTTTACAAAAATATAAAGGGCCAATGAGATGGCTCCATGGGTTATAGCTCCTGCTGCCAAGTGTGACAACCTGAATTCTGTCTCTGGTATCACGTGATGGAATGAGAAAACTGACTCCTGTGCATTGTCCTGTGACCACATGTATGCTGCGACACGCATGTCACCACACGTATGCTGTGACATGTATGCAAACACACAAACTCAATGTAAAATTTTAAAAGAAAACTCAGTACTTGAATATATTTAATTGCCATCTTTCTTCTCTGCGCATCCATATGAATTTTAAGAAAGTCCGTATCATAATTAACAATTTTTACATTTTATATTCATATCATTAATTTAAAATTCCAGTTTTAAGTCTACGTAAGATGTTATCTTACTAACATGCCGTGACACTTAACCCTTTGCGACTGTACATCCTAGTTGATTTGCATTTTTGTTCATGTGCCACTTACCATAAATAACCATAAGTGTCTGTTGGGAGGAAGTAAAAGCAGAGGATTGATTTGGGGACATTGGCAATGCTTGCGGTGTGATTCACCAACACCCTGGGTATGGTATGTTTTGTGAGGCTGTGCCTCCCCAAGGTAGCCAGTGAAATCAGCAGCCCATGAAGGCTCGGTGTGTCCCCTGTTAAATTTGTAAAAGCCGTGGTGGGGAAGTGGAGTCCGGGGTTGCACTGTGTTAAGCAGGTGAATTTGGATGCCTGATGCCTTTGGACTTCCGCCTGCAATGCTTACAGCTGCTGCTTCTCTTGTCTAATTTCTTCTCTGTAGTTGCTGGGGCTTCCAGATGCAGATGACGACGCATTTGAAGAGTACAGTGCGGTTGTGGAGGAGGAGGAGGAGCCAGAGGCGGATCACCCCCAAATGGGAGTCAGTCAGCAGTAAACTCCTAGGTCACCTCGCAGAAGGGGAGTAAGCCCTGTGCGCCCCATGGGGTCCTGTGCTCCAGGGGTAGCCCTTTTGCATTAGCTCTTCCAAACACGACATCTGGCTCCTGGCACCCAAATGAGAATGAAATACCTTTAAATGACCGCACAATATCTATGATGAGCTTTGCTCAGAAGTGACCAGACTTTCGGCCGTACTTTGTCGGAGTCTCTATGGAGATGTCTTGGCAGCTTTTGCCTCTTTGAAGTTAGAGTCCATGTCGTGGCTGCCTGTTTCCTCTTGAGTTTATATTAGAGGATTAATGTTTCCTGACTGGAATGTCGAGAACTCTGAATGTATTAAGGATGTGTTCTGAGTCCTCACAGGTGACCTTGCTGAGGAGAAGCATGACGGAGGAGAAGCGCAGCCTGAACTTTTTATGTCCCTTTTAAGTGTCCGTAAGTGAAAGGTTTTGATTTGAAAGCATGAGTTTTAATATCTAGTCATGATCTGCACACATGCAAACGAAGAGGGGGAGAGCGGCTGAGGCTCGCTCCTCGGATCCTGGGAGAGTTCACCATCTTCGCATTGGTTACCTGGGCATGGAGCAGCCAGCCACCTGTCACTGTAAATGTTTCGTGGCTGTTTGATCATTTTTAAAACATGCTGATTCCAAAGGCACCTGTGAATTTTTGTTTTGTTTTTGTTTTTGTTTTTGTTTTTCGAGACAGGGTTTCTCTGTGTAGCCCGGGCTGTCCGGGAACTCACTCTGTAGACCAGGCCGGCCTCGAACTCAGAAATCCGCCTGCCTCTGCCTCCCAAGTGCTGGGATTAAAGGCGTGCGCCACCACCACCTGTGAATTCTAATAGTGGAAAAGTGTAGACGGGATGAAAGATATAGATGCTTGGTTTCTTTAAGCTGTTTATAAACCTCCGTATGAAACATTTACCTTTTCTCTTTATGACAAGACAGCAACTTATTAAATCATGAGAACAGCCAGGATCCGAGCAAGTGCCCCTTATGCTCTGAAGCCATAGATAAATCTAACAGGAAAATAAACTAGGATAAAAATATTAATATAATAAAATCCTTTACTTTCCTAATCTTTTATTCCTTAGAGAATGTCAGGAAAGGCTCCCAGCAAGTTGATTTATTTAAAATTATAATTAAATACTCTAGGGAACCTACTTGCAGTGAAATTTTAAAGAGACATGAAAGTAAGAATCTTAATTACAGGATTGCTTGGTTAAAAGAGGATGATTTTTAGCGATCAGGACACACAGACGACTCCTAGGAGTAACTGCTGTCTTCATTTAGCCAATAAATATTTAGCAGGACATTCTCTGATGCCATTGTGAGCCCTTCTGTGCCTCAGGTTCTCATAACTCAGGGTGCAAGCGTTCCCTTGATGATGCTTGACTCCTATGTGCACCCAGTTTGGGAGCGTTTCAGACACCCACACCAGTCAGGATACTAGTATTTTAAATTAACAAAAGGAAGATGATGATGATGATGAAGACCACGACCACCTGTGCTGACAGAAGCTTGTGCGGATGGCCAGCATGTCTGGGCATTCTGTTTAACTCAGGGGCCATTTGAAGGGTCCCACGCTCCTTGGTGCATTGCAGAATTCAGCTGCCAGTTGATATCACATACTGGTTTCTATCTGTGCTTTTGTACTTTTGTTTCCTGGGAGAAACTTATTAATGATTAATTTCAAGCCAAGCAACTTCTCTTGAAGTGGCCCATTAGCAACATCAGACTGAGTGCTCCTTCCAGGGTGCGAGGTCCAGCTTTTGCAGTCCTGCCCATGGTCCCACCTTGTGAGCCTACAGCACGGAGACTGAGCTCTCTGTCTTGTAGATACTGTCCAGGGCAGGTAACTTTCTTTTACACACAAATGTATGGCTTTTGTAGCTAAATCAGTACACCTGAGCAGTTTGCTCCATTCTGAGGTAACCTGGGATTTTATATACAGAGGCTTTAAATTTACATGTGTTTGAACATTAATATAAGATGAACTTTTTTTTATCAAAAATGTATTTAAACTTTGACCAGATATACAGATTAATGTTATCACATTAATGTTCTCTATTTTGTACAAATTGAGCTAAGACCCCTCCTACTGGTGCAGCAGGCTGCTGAAAACTCCCATCTGCCCAGGGATCAGGAAGTGAGACAGTGTGACCCCTCCCAAGCCTACAGAGGCAAGCATTCTAGTGGCATGGGAGAAAGGTCTTTGGGAGTTAGGAGAGACACTTACTCTTGACTACAGGACACTGACAAGTCATGTGACTTCTGAAACAGGGCTATTTCCTTTTCTAGCTGTCAACACTCTCCTAATGCAACTGCCGTAGGAAGTATGTGTTCAGAAGAGCAACAGCCAGGACACTGAGGGACGTGGGAAGGAAATAGTTTGTGATTTTGCCAAAGATGGTGTCCTTAAGATGCTGGCCATGCAGCTACTTTAGGATATGGTGGCCAGTGGATATCCAGATCCCTGGAACCTGAGGTGGGCATAAGCAGAGGCCCCAGAAGATGGCTTGTCTCTGCTGAATGCCAGTGGCAGGCAAAGCTGCTTCTTGCCCCCCATACACTGAAGGCTTTGGAGGTGGTGGGCAGGTAGCCCAAGAGGGGAGATTGGCATGACGACTAGCTGGAAGAGAATGGCGGTGAACACTTTGCTCATCCTGTCACTCAGGAAAGAGAAAGTGACAGTGAAGACTTGGTAGGTGGCAGACAGAGGCAGTGAGAATCAACATATAGGGAAGGACTGATCGCTTGCTGGTCAGTGTGACCAGCTGAAATCCGTATTACGCCACGGACAGCACTGCAAAGGTGGATCCTATCATTGTGTGACCCATGAAGACGTTTTCCTCGTGTCTGCCTGGTTAGTTTCCTCTGCCTGATGATGTCACTGAGCCAAGCAGGCTTCAGACATCGAAGAACAGAGCCAGGGAGGGTAGTGAGGTCCCATACAGTGCCTAGCATCCCTAGGGTTCAGCCAGATGGAAGGGTCCACTTGTGACTCCTAGGCTTGATGCAGCACACGCTACAGTCTGTGTTTCCATGACCAAAGCACAAAACCTCTGCTGCATGAGGAGACTGTCCTTGCACACTGGTGTCAGAACTAGGTTTGCAGTGCGCTTAAGTCAAACTGTCTGGGAGCGACACCACCGCTCAGCACAGAAAGAAACGATTCTCTAGCACAATGCATGTCTCTGAATATCGTTTCAGTTTCTCTGAGCACAAAGAGTATGCCCGGGGTGTTGTGATCCCAGAGTGGAAATTTTAGTTATTGCATGTTAAAGCTCGATAGTTGGGAAACAGTTTAATCAAGTCTGGTTTTCTACAGTGAGAAGAATGTAGTATGGACAAGACTTTCGTGTGTTGGGAGGAGGTGAACAGGCACGGCGAGGAGTTAAGTCTCCATCTTAGTTGTAAACAAAGCACATAGTCCACACTTACCTCCTGGGGGCATAGGATGACTTGTGTCCTTGGCTGTCTAGAGAACTGAGTGCTTAGCGGATGCTGGTAATAGCTTTGTGACTTTCACGATGCCCCCTGCCAAGCCAAAGGCATGGCAAGTATCCTGCGCACCTGGTGGAATTCCTTCCCTTAAAAATAAAATCAGCCGCCAGCCAGGGAAGCTCACCTTCAAGAGTGCTGGCTCAGGAGGGACTGTGATGACAGAACATGGCCATACCCACCCTCTCCTCCACTGGTGCTCCGGTGTCAGTGAAACTCGGGTGGAGGCTCTTGTCCCTAGACCAAACCTGGAGGGAGATGCCAGGCATGGCTTCTTGCATCCTGTCCAGAGATGCATAAAATATTTTTTACATTAGAAACACTCCTCTCAGCCAGGCGGTGGTGGCACGTGCCTTTGATCCCAGCACTTGGGAGGCAGAAGCAGGTGGATTTGTGAGTTCAAGGCCAGCCTGGTCTACAGAGTGAGTTCCAGGACAGCCAGGGCTACACAGAGAAACCCTGTCTTGAAAAACCAAAAAGAAAAAAAAAAAAAAGAAACACTCCTCTTTCGTATAAACTCGGGCGAGTTTCTTTGGTTTGATGGTAGCCGACATGACTTGAGAAGCTGAGGTCTCTTAGGTTTCATAGAGAGTAGGAGTAGTGTTTTTGGGGATGCTGGGAGCCCGTGGTCTATGGCAGTGACCTTGAGCATTTTCTATTAGAAGCCCCATTCACCACACTGCAAGGCTGAGTAGTTCCGAGTAGTTGAAAGTGTGTACCAAGCTACATAGGAGGCAGTGTTCAGTTTGATTAGGACTGTGTTCATGTTCGGTGTCAGGGGAAGAGCTGGCAGCGTGCTCCTCACGAACTACCTTTCCCTGGGCTTCCCTTTTTGTTTCTCAAGGTTCTGTTTTAGCAAGAACCTTCTGAACTGGCAGAGACCAACACTCTGTACAAATGCCAGCTTTTTTTTGTTTTGTTTTGTTTTGTTTTGTTTTTCGAGGCAGAGTTTCTCTGTGTAGCCCTGGCTGTCCTGGAACTCACTCTGTAGACCAGGCTGGCCTCGAACTCAGAAATCCGCCTGCCTCTGACTCCCAAGTGAAATGCCAGCTTTCTAAAAGGCATTGAAATAAATATTTAGTGCCGGGCAAATCTGAACCCAGCTTTCAATCCAGTGCTTATTTGCATACAAGTGAGATTTCTCCAGAGAAGCAAATCAGAAGGGACATTGTTGTTTGTTTCTGGTTTGGGTTTTTTTTTTTTTTTTTTTTTTAAGACAGGGAGTTTTTCCTGTGTGATGTGTAAGCTTTCTTTGAGTTTGCATTTCTTTTCAGAGATCTCTTTTGTAAGTGACAAACTGTGAAATGGGTTGCTAAAAACTATGTCCTTTGTTAGATGCTTCAGAGGGAACTGTGGAAATTCTCTCTGCACCTTGTCTGCTTCCTCCTCCCTCCCATGAGAGCAAGGCCCACATCAGAGGATGTAATTACCATACGCTTGCTATTAAAGAGCCTTCGAGCCCCGGTGTTCTTTGTCTTCTTTGCTCGTTCCACAGATTTCCGTTACAGAACACTGTGTGTTATTCATCAATGCAGAGCCGGGACCATGGGCACTGGGGCGGGAGGGAGCAGTTACCTCAGAGGTGGGTTTAAAAGTCGGTAATTCACGTGCTTGGGAGCATTGCATCTAACTAAATACTTTGGCTAGTATTTAACAATGTATCATCTCCCTTTCAACTAGCACTGGTTTCATATGGGAGAATTCCTTTTTGCAAACCTAGTTAGGAGTGCCTTGTGGCACAATTAGAAATCTGTATCCTGTGACAGTCCAGTAACGGCAGGATGACACTTCCTCAACCCCTTACTCCCAGTTGCTTTTATTCACTAGACAAAGGCGTGTCAGAAGGAGCTCCGAAAGTTGGCAGGAAGTTTCATCCTTTGTTTGAAGATCCAGTTTCTCCCTCCGAATGAGGGGGTCTCTAAACTTGAAAATGGCTTAGCAGCCCCAACTGGAGGCTGTGTGTGTTTAATGTCATTGGAGGTCCTTGGTATTGGCCAAAGGTTCCAAATCCAGAGGAAAGCTGTGTGTGCACATTCTAAGGCTCTCTGGTCAAAGACCGGCTCCAGAAGGGCCATGTAGACAGATTTTTATCATGAGAAATTTCCTGTTTCTATGACTTGATCACACAGGCTCGGCTCCTTTACGTGTAGGGACAGATCTCAGTGTT